TTTGCGCGGTGCGGTCACAGCCCTTCTGCTTGCACTTCTGCAAGGGTTTTCAGCTTGCTTCAATATGCAGGCAAAACGGGTCCTAGTCGCATTCTGTGCGTCTCGGAAGTTTAAGTTGCCCGGGCTTAAAGTGCTGTTTCTGGCCTTGTAAGTGCGTTTCTGTTGCGGAGCTTTGTGGCTCGAAAAGCCTGATAAGTGCTTTCTAAGCGCAACGGTAACTCAGAGCAGAAGGGTGGAATTCTCTTGGCCTCATTTGCTGCATGTGAGCCTTGGGTTGCGTCTCCGTCAATCCTGCGCCGGCAACAGGATTGCATTGCTGTGCTGGGTTAGGGCAGCCGCAGATAGGCCAGCGCGTATACTTCAGCTGCATGCCGGCCTTTACTTTCAGGACTCGCTGGCCGGCTTCCGGAACTTGCGTAACGCAAAAGGACGAATGGGGAAGATCAAGCTTTTCCCCACGCCTAAGTACACCAGCAAGCAAGCCTCGGACCCCGTGGTGCCCCTGGTGCCATGCACGGGCATCTTCCTTGGGCCCAGCAAGTCGGGCAAAACTGTGGCGCTCATCAGTCTCATCCTGGAGCAGTACAAGGGCGTGTTTGAGCGGATCTACGTTTTCAGCCCAAGCGTCAACATCGATGATGGCTGGATCCCCGTCAAGAAGTACATCGAGCAGGACCTGGGGGTGAACACGGAGCGTGAGCAGGCTTACTGGGACGAGTGGGATGAGTCCGCCTTGCGGCGCATCATCCAGCAGCAGCGCAAGATCACGGAAGCGTCCAAGAAGTTGGAAATGAAGAAACTGTACCAGGTGCTTGTAGTCATCGACGACTTTGCTGACACGCCGCAACTCCACAAGCCGCACGGCGCCCTTGACACGCTCTTCATCCGAGGCCGTCACATGCAGATCAGCACCTGGGTGAGCTCGCAGAAGCTGAGGCTCATCAGCGCAGCCGTGCGGGTCAACATGCAATTCCTCTGCTGCTGGAGGCTGCGCAACCAGCACGAGCTGGACGCCGTCATCGAGGAGCTGAGCGCCCTGCTGCCGAAGGAGCAGCTGTACCGGCTGTATGAGCAGGCGACCCGAGAACCTTACAGCTTCCTCTTCGTGTACTACCTGAAGCCGAAGAACGAAATGTTCTACAAGCGCTTCGAAGAGCGTTTCGCGCTTGAAAAAGACGTCGATGGGAGCGGCGCTCAGCTTCCTAGGTCAGAAGCTGTTCGCCAGCTCCACGCTGATCAACGCGAAGTGTGAGAACATCTCCTGCTGCACTTCCGTCTCAGCCGTCCAGCCGCCCGTCGTCCGCCGGACGGGTGGTTTCCTAAAGACAAGGATGACAACGATCTACGTGGACAGCCGCAAGAGGGTGGCCGGCTTGGACAGTGACTTTGAGGTCGACCTGGGAGAGTCGCTGCACCTGCAGAGCGACGCCCGGCTCGCCGTCTACAAAATCCGCCTGGCCGACAGTTTCCTGTCCACGGACCGGGGCCGCTACCTCTACTGGGTTGACGCCGCGCTGGGCACGCTAAACTGGGCATTGTTGCCCGAGACCGCGTACACGGGCGCCCGGCTGGCCGCCTGGGTCAGCTCCAACTTTGCCACCGCCACCTATAGCGAGACCACAAACAGCCTGAGCGTTGCCTACGACGGTAACCGGCTGATCCTGAACGACCTGGAGCTGCGGCAGCAATTCCCAGATGCAGCGGACTACCCCGCCGCGCCGCCCGCCTCTCCGACGAAGCCCTTCAGCGTGGACCACATGCTGGGCCCGAGCTTCGTCTCCGGCGGGCAGCAGGTCTTTGAGTTCGTCCGGATGATGGCGCACAACGAGGTCTACCTGCGCTGCGCCCAGCTGGCCAACGCCAGCAGAGTGCTGGGCAACCTGGGCGACGACATCCTCTCCAAGATCACGCTGAAGAGCGGAGTGGGCACCATTGTGGAGACGGGCTCAGACGACGGGCACTTCATGGCCCTCAGGGGCCCGGTTACCCTGAGGCACATGCGCTTCCGCCTGACCGACCTGGACGGCAACGTCGTCCGGCTTCGCGGGTCGTCTTTGTCGTTCGTGTTATATCTTGACCACGTATAATTAAAAAGGATGGAGCCGATCGAACAAGAGGCGCCAGAGGCGCGCGCTGCGCCGGAGGCACCACACGCTGCACAGGAGGCACCACACGCTGCGCAGCGCTGCGCAGGACGCTGCACCGGAGGCACCGGAGCCGAAACGGAGGGGGAGGCCTCCTGGCAGCAAGAACAAACCGAAGCAGGACGTGCCTACTGAGCCGGCTGCCCCAAAGCGCAAGCCAAAGCCGCCTCCACTTGAGACGGCGCCAGTTGACGCACCACCAGCGGAGGCACCGGCAGAGGCACCACCGGCTGAGGCTCCACAGGAGGCGCCTCAGCTCACAAGAGAGCAGCAGCGCGCCCTGCGCATGCTGGAGAGGCAGTCGGCTTATGACCGGTTGACAACAGGCGCAAGCGTACTAGTGTAAAAGCAAGATGATGTCCATTGAGCCCCGCAACGAGCCGCAGATGCTCCGGTGGTTCCGCAAGACTTATCCGAGCTACAACCTGCAGCCGCTGCTGCTGAAGCGCTACCGAGAACTGGAGGAGGCGCGGGCCTTCAACAACTGGCTTGGGGAACGCAGGCAGGCGCAGGAGGGGCAGCGGCACCTGGACGACGTGAGCCGGCTGACGGAGGCCGTGCACCGCCAGGTACCCCAGCTGCGCTACGCGCGCGCCGAGCGCCGGGGCGTGGAACGGGCGGCGGACGAAGTTGCGCAACGGTAAAGAGATGAAGACACTTCGGGCGCACGGCTTCAATCAGCGCCCGCGCTTTGAGCAGGTGGTGGGCTACCTTGAGCGGAATGAGCCGCTGCCCCTGGATCAGCCGGACCGCAAGGCCACGTCGTTCGTCACAAGCCACTTCTACCTGGACGATTTCGTCCAGTCCAGCGCCCTCGGCCCCTGCAGCACACGGCTCTGCAGGCTATTCCCGAGGACAATTGCGCCGAGGCCACGGACAAGAAGGTACCAAGTGAGCCTAGAGTGTCCCCATTCTTCTCTCTCGACACTCTAGGCTCAGTTTTTTTTGAACCGCCAGTAGCTTTTTTTTGCCTCTTTTGTGTCTCAGTAGTCATCTGGTTTCATGGAGCCAAAATTTGAACCGCTAGTAGGTTTGTTAACATTCGGCCTCTTGTGCTCCGCAGCTCCGCAGCAGCCGCAAGCGTCCGTGGGGCGTTGGCAGCAGCTTCGCGGCAGTTGCTCCTGGCGTTTCCGCAGCGCCCGGCAGTCGCAGACGCCCCTCGTTGAGGCGTCGGCCAGCTTCTTGGCAGTCGTCCGCAGCCCAGAAGCAGCTGCAGACGGCTGAGTTTCTAAGCTCGGCTGTTTTGCGGCAGTCGCCCGCGCGCGCCAAGGCAGCCGCACACGGTCCCTAGCTGCGTTTCTGCGTCGGTCGGTTTTTTCTTGGCAGTCGCCCGTGCGTCCCCGCAGCACCAAAGCAGCCGCACACGGTCCCTAGCTGCGTTTCTGCGTCGGCCGGTTGTTTCTTGGCAGTCGCCCGAGCGTTTCCGCAGCGCCAAAGCAGCCGCACACGGTCCCTAGCTGCGTTTCTGCGTCGGCTGGTTGTTTCTTGGCAGTCGCCCGAGCGTCCCCGCAGCGCCAAAGCAGCCGCAGACGCCCCTCAGGGCTGCGTTGAGGCGTCGGCCGGCAGGTGTGCAGCGCTCACTGCGGCCACCTGTGTTCGAGAGACGCGGCTGAGGTCCCGGCAGCGCTGTGAAAAGAATGTTCTGGCGCAGCCCGCCCGCGCCGTCAAGCCCACCCGCACCAGCCCCCGCAGAAGGCGCTCAGAGTGCCCGGGCTGGGTGCTCCGGCCCACAGCTTGGCTGGGTTGGGCTCGCGCTTCGGTCGCTGGAGTGTTGCTTCCGCCGGGCAGCGGTTGGCCTTAGGGAATGGGATGCGCCCATAAGGCAAAGGCATGGGGAGGATTAAGCTCTTCCCCACGCGGCGGTTTGGTGTCATGCAAGTGCGCCAGCCGAGGCGAAAAGCTCTTCCCCACGCCCGAGTACACCTCCAAGCAGCCCGGCGACCCTGTCGCGGCCTGTGCCCGGAATTGCTCCAGCCTCTGCTGCGTCCGGCCCTTTCCCAGAATGCGACCACAGCCCCTGAGGGCGCAATCCTGCCTTTGGGGTCGGCAGATTTCCCTTGTTCATTGCCTGTCTGGGATGGGCCTGCAGCGGCTCTGGAAGCGTTTCTGCTTGTTCATCGCCTGGCTGCGGCAGTTCGAGGCAAGCTTCGGCATGCAGGAAGAAGTTCATCGCCTGGTCGGAAGGGTCTGCGGCAGCTCTGGCAGCGTTTCTGGCAGCTCATTGCTTAACTTGGGGTGCCTCAGATGCCTCCACCATCTATGCAGAGTTCGATAGACAGGGGTTGACCGCGGACACTGTTCAAAACGGCGTGGGACATTCTTTTCCTGATGTCCGCAGAGTTGCAGCAAGTACTGGTCGCTGTCGGTGCCTTTTGCTGGCTTTTCTAAAATCGGGGAACTCCCTACAAATTCCGAGCCCGTATAAAAATTACAAAACCGGATTTTGTTGTTGAAAAAAGGACCTTCTTTTTTGCGGAAACAAGTTTTCGCCACAATGGCTGCCCACAATCTGGGGCAGGCTGCGGCAAATGGACAGCTGCTGGCTGCGCTGCTGCAAGCCGAGGCCTTGCTGGGTGATCGAAGGGGACGAGCCCTGGCAGCCCGAAACGCGGGCGAAGCTGGCCTACCGCCTAATCTACTGCTGCCACCTGCGCGTCAAGACTCAGGGTTTGGGATGCGCTAAAAAAAAGCAAACCGTGGCCATGGGGAAGATCAGCTTGTTCCCAACGCCCTGGAATCTGTGCGCAGCGGGGACAGAAGTGCAGTTTTAGATTTGCGTCCAATAAAGAACAATGCGTGGACTTGCTCCCCATTTGTTCGCTGGATACTTGCTCAAAAGCCCCATCCGCCATTCACCTGCGAGAGCTTGTTGACCAACTGCTTGCCCCGAGAAAGCCGAGAGAGAACTCGGCTGGTGAAATGGCGCACAGTCGGCAGAAAAAACACCAGCTTCAGCCATTGGCGCTTCATGACATGCTACCGCGATTCCTGGAAGTAATGACATTGCCGCTCCATGCGTTTCTCCCATGCTGTTGGCCCGCATTCTGCAATGATGCTCATTAGCACTGGCGCTGGTCGGCGTGATTTCTTGTCCACTGCTGCTCAACTTCCCTGATCGCCACCTTCAACAAATAGCATCAAACACCTGTGCACAACTTGGCTCAAAAAGATCAAACTGGCAAGCCACGAGAGCAATTCTTTCCCCCGCACTTCTTCAAACGGCTTGGTACTGCATCCGCGCGCTTTGGCACAGGGAGGAACGCCGCAGTGAAACAGCTGTTGACCAGCGCCGGCAACTGTTGCTGGTCCTGTACCCGTTGCAGGCATTCCCTGCTTGACTTGAACACCGTTGCCTGATGTTCAAAAGTGTGAACAGTTGCCTGCCTTACCCTTCAGGAGTCAAGCAAAGTCGCACTGCAACGAAACAACTGTGCCTGCGAACGCATGCTTTTGTCACTGTACGAGGTGAAACGTTGTGCGCCAGCATTGCCTCAGCCGAGAACAGTGACCACAGCCAGCAGTAGCCTGGCAACGATGCAAGTTCGCACGTGTGGAACACTGCTGGGTTGCTGAGGTGCCTCAAACTATGCGGCTCCAGCAGCTCCAGCTGGAATCGTGAATCCATAGCAGTCTGCCCTGACAGCTGGGCGACAGCACAACCCAAAATTACAAGGCATCGGAACCAAGCGCTCGGCTTGGATTCGCCACGGTCGACTGCTGATTCTTCATCTTCTTTAAACCAGCCGCCGTCCTGCAAAGTCCAGCTGAGAGACGGCAAGGGGGTGAGGTGTGGGGGATGGAACAAATGGGGGTGCGCTTTGACATGCAAAGCTCTCCTTCCGGCGGTAAATGTCAATCTTGGACGCTTGAAACGCGGACAAGGAAGGATCGATTGCCTGCGGTGATGTCAGCAAGGGCTCACTGGACTGATCAAAGGGGTTGCGCTATTAGAGTAAACAGCCCACATATGCGCAAGTTCGAAGCGCAAGGCCTTCTTCAAGTCATCCACCTGACATCCCCGCGAAGCATGAAGCGGCATTTCCGAAGGCAAAACAAAGCTGAAATAGATCCTTCGCAGGCGCAGCTGAGGCCGCCGCGTTTGCCAAAACTCCCTTAACTTGAAAGGGGTTGCCAATGGCCTCGAAGTTCTTGCCGTCCTCGTAAGGCACAAGCACTGCAATCCAGTTCACATCCATCCGTTTTACCGGTGGCTCCACAAACGCCTTTGATTTTGGAGCTAGGCGACAATTTGAGAGCTCTTCTGAGAAGGAAGTCGACAGCTGTTTTCAGAACGTGAATGCAGGGCAGGCAAAACTGCTCACAGCTGCTGGTAAGGTCAGGCAGGGCTTCCCAGCTGACAGACCCACACTGCTGGGGGTCGTTGCGGGGCGGCACTGCCTTGCAGGCGGCAATCTGAGCAACGGATGCGCCCGTTGGCTTTCACTCTCCCTGAAACTGATTAGGCTTCGAAATCAAGCTGTAATACATCCAACTAGAAAGCAACAATCCCATCCAAGGCCCAAGTACAACAAATGATGTGTAGGGAATTAGTCTGCCAGCGCCAATCGTTCTTCCAGCGCATGGATTTTGGGGGAAATCTCCTGTTTGTTTGAAAAGAACATGATCGGTCAGCTTTGCTTGCAGCTTTGCATTCAAGAGCATGTTTGCTTACAAGCGCCCCATGAACCATGAAACAACATGCAAATGCAAGACCAAAAGCGTCTGATGCCAATGGCTTAGAAAGAGTTGGCAAGGGCGCCGTTTTGGCAGGCTTGGTTCCTTGCCCATCGCAATGTCCTGACACTGCCGAAGAAAAGAAGGGCATCGCAAGAAACAAACCATGTGGCACCCCGCGCAACACTTGCCTCGCGCCAGTTGTAGCGCCATTTCCGCCTTTGAAATTGCCTTGCTGGCCATTTCCAATGCTGCAGGCAGTGCAGCCTCTGATTGAAAGTAGACAACGTGCAGCATCTTGTTCTTGAGCAAGCCCAACACATTTTGAAGGCCAAGTCGATCAGCCAGCCCTTCTGTATCGACTTGCAATGCTGCTCGGTTGAAAACGATTGCAAAGCCTGTGGTATCCGGCTGAAGCTCAACTGGCTCCAATTGTCTTGCATCGTCACGTGCTAAGAATCCCTTGCGTGCAACAAGGCAGCTCTGGATCTCAATCTGATAAAGCTTCATTGCAACATAGCGGCTGTCGGAACAGATTTCCACAAGCACTCTCTGAACGTTTGCGCACGTAGCACTGACCTTGACTTCGCTTAGCCCCTGGATCTTTGCAGCAAACTCCTTGAAAGAACCATCGTAGAATGCGTCGACTTCAGCTTCCTTCTCCCCGACACCCTTTTTTCTCACTCCGTCCCCAATGTGGTCGGAGACTGTTTCTTGCAGAAAGCGCGCAACAGTCTCCCTGCATGTCTCCAAACGCTGCCGCTCCTTTGGGTCTTGAGGTTGGTTCATAAAGAGCATCCGAGGACCACCACATTCAAAAATGCGGGATATCATACCTTCATAGTTTCCACGGCTGATCTGACTGACACTTGAGAAGGGTTTGGGCCGTCCGTCCTCACCAACTAAACAATACGTTTCGTCAAGTTGTCGTTCCCGTGCTGGCTTTCCTGCGGCACGGCATCCTGAAAATGCCAGTGTTTGCTGCGGTGGAAATGCAGAAGGCTGCCCAAATGTCGCAGGAGGCGCAACAAAAGGCCCAGGCGACCACCACCCAGGATGCGCATTTTGCGGAACAGGTTCCCCACGGTATGCTACGAATCGCCCATGCCGCCACTCCATGGCAAGGCTTCAATGATAGAAAATGAATCTGTGTGACCATGCTGCTGGGTTTCAATATGCATCGAACGTGTCTGGATGAAGCTGCGCTCAATGCCGTGCACATGCATGTGTTAAGGATTGAATTGTTTGACATCAACTCTCCTCTGCTGCCAACCGGGTGGGGAAAAAAGGTTCACTGCGCCATCTGCTTAGGACAACTTGAGATGTCGCACTGCATTCCAGTGGAAAACTACTCAAGTTGGACGGCACTACAGAGAAAGCAAAACTGCAAGTGACCACAGCCAGCAGTAGCCTGTCAACGATGCAAGTTCACAAGTGTAGAACACCGCTGCGCCGCTGAGGTGCCTCAAACTATGCGACTCCAGCAATTCCAGCTGGTAACGTGACAAACTATGTCACCGATTTGTGGAAATTTGCCGCCAACCAAGAGCTTCACAGCAAGCCGCACTGCAACGAAACAACTGTGCCTGCGACTGCACTTTTTTGTTCCTGTAAGAGGTGAAACGTTGTGGGCCAGCATTGCCTCAGCCGAGAACAGTGACCACAGCCAGCAGTAGCCTATTAACGACGCAAGCTCACAAGTGTAGAAGACTGCTGCGCTGAGGCAGGTGCCTCAAACTATGTGGCTCCAGCAGCTCCAGCTGGCAACATGAATCCGTAGCAGTCTGCCCTGACAGCTGGGCGACGGCACAACCCAAAGTTGAAAGGCATCGGAACCAAGTGCTGGGCTCATCTGTGTTGCGCAGACTTGATGACATCCTTGTTTCCTTGACCCAGCGGCCGTCCTGCAAAGTCCAGCTGAGAGACGGCAATGGGGTGGGGTGTGGGGGATGGAACAAATGGGGTGCGCTTTGACATGCAAAGCTCTCCTTCCGGCGGTAAATGTCCATTTGATAGGCATCGCAGGATACAGTATTTGGGTTCTCCTGCTTGATGGCCTCAAGCAACGCTCAGTGTGGAAATCACTCAAACCCTCAATCTCTGTCATCGCCCTTCTTTCAAGAGCTTGCAAGACAGGATGAGCGAAATTCGGCTTGAGCGCGGGGCCTTCTTCAAATATGCCTGCCAACATTGAAGCTAAGACGCACAGCATCCTCCAAGTTCAAGTTCACACAAAAAGTGATCAAAATGCATTCAACAAATACATGGCAGGGGTGCTATGTTTTGCGGCACTGGGTTGATTGGAAAAGCATTGCCAGCGGGCTGGAAGCCGCCACTGCCCTGCAAGGTCAGGGAGCCAGGGCAAGGAAAAAAAACACAACATCTCCATTGAATATTGAAGGTGGGCGACAATTTGAGAGCTCTTCTGAGAAGGAAGTCGACAGCTTTTTTCCGAACATGAATGCAGGGCAAAACTGCTCACAGCTGCTGGTAAGGTCCAGGCAGGGCTTCCCAGCTGACAGACCCACACTGCTGGGGGTCGTTGCGGGGCGGCACTGCCTTGCAGGCGGCAATCTGAGCAACGGATGCGCCCGTTGGCTTTCACTCTCCCTGAAACTGATTAGGCTTCGAAATCAAGCTGTAATACATCCAACTAGAAAGCAACAATCCCATCCAAGGCCCAAGTACAACAAATGATGTGTAGGGCATTAGTCTGCCAGCGCCAATCGTTCTTCCAGCGCATGGATTTTGGGGGAAATCTCCTGTTTGTTTGAAAAGAACATGATCGGTCAGCTTTGCTTGCAGCTTTGCATTCAAGAGCATGTTTGCTTACAAGCGCCCCATGAACCATGAAACAACATGCAAATGCAAGACCAAAAGCGTCTGATGCCAATGGCTTAGAAAGAGTTGGCAAGGGCGCCGTTTTGGCAGGCTTGGTTCCTTGACCCATCGCAATGTCCTGACACTGCCGAAGAAAAGAAGGGCATCGCAAGAAAACAAACCATGTGGCACCCCGCGCAACGCTTGCCTCGCGCCAGTTGTAGCGCCATTTCCGCCTTTGAAATTGCCTTGCTGGCCATTTCCAATGCTGCAGGCAGTGCAGCCTCTGATTGAAAGTAGACAACGTGCAGCATCTTGTTCTTGAGCAAGCCCAACACATTTTGAAGGCCAAGTCGATCAGCCAGCGATTCTGTATCGACTTGCAATGCTGCTCGGTTGAAACCGATCGCAAAGCCTGCGGTATCCGGCTGAAGCTCAACTGGCTCCAATTGTCTTGCATCGTCACGTGCTCAGAA